AAGAAAAACGACTTGGAAGGACCTCTTTGAATAACTATATTTTATACCTATATAACTATATTTTAAACAATAACAAAGAAATACATGGATTTTATTTTGTTAACATGCATAGATCCGATAAAAATCGAGCGGTATCTTTTTCCTTTGCTCTTGCAACAAATATTGTAATATTGGATACAAATATTGCAGCCGATATAACAAATCGGCTGCAAACGTAAAAAATAATAATAATCATAAATAAATTTAATATTACTTTTATTATATATAATCTGTTGTATTATTTAACCCTTTTATTCTCTTTCCTGCAATTTTCTTCAGATTTATTTTTTTTTCCTTACTAGGGCCTAATGACACCTTAGATTTCATCAAAGTGTATACGCTACTGAGGACTTCTACGGATAGCTTACTGCGCATGCACTGGGACTGCCCAACACTGCCAACACTGACAAGTATTATGTCTTATTTGCGCGCACTATGCGTGCAGAGCGGTTCAGAGCTCCGCGGGTACTAACCCATTCTAAAAATCGCAAATGGATGTAACGAAATTAATATTTCTCAGAATTTGTAATATTAAAATGCAACAAACAAAGGATTAATGCCATAATAATTATTCATATATTTATTACGTAGAAGGAAATAATGACTAATGTTCTTATGATATCCATTTGGTGTTGGATAGTAATGGCATTTGGCAGTATGTTGCATTTCAGGATTCAAAAAGTAATTACCTCTAATTATTAAACGAATGTTTAGTTAGACATCTTCTATAAGTTGGCAAAATTTATTAATAAATGAAGCGCAATACTGGGAATTCCCTTCGTTAGCATTCTTTATCAAATGTGTCATTTTGTTTTACGGTATAGTTGGCTACACCTTTCGATGCACTTTTACATTGTCTTTTGGAGTGTATTTATTTCTGCATAGTTTTGTATGCATATTTTTATATCTGTTGCGTGTTTCATATTCGCAAAATTACTGTGTTTATTATACGTCAACACCAATAAATTTGTGTACGCCGACAAGGACTATATATGTTCAAAATGTGAATCGAAAAAATCAGTTTGTTAATTGTTGCGATTCTTTTTATTTTCAGAACATCAGTTATTTGCCGACGAGGAGAACAAATTGCTTAATTCGAATCGTAAAGGGTTGCTGATTGACTATGGGTCAAAGTTTAACATATATCGTGAGGACGGTGACGCAAATTGTAACAAATATTGTAAGTGCACCAGCGCATAATTACCCCACGGATTATCGACCCCATGGATTGTATAATTACAATCGGTGAGTTGCATAATTTACGGCTCCTCTAGTTCTTTTAATCAATATAAAAGTAAAGAACATTCAAGTTATCGTAAAATTTTGCGAATGATTTTTGTGAGATTTTGAGTCGAAGAAAAAAGAGGCTGTATGTAAGAGCAAAATTTCATGTTATTGAAAATGACTATGATTGAACCCCTAGATAATGAGATCGGTGTGTTACCAACCCGGGCGTTAGACTAAGGGTTAATCTAGAAAGTTCCTAGATTGCTTCCCATAAACTATAAAATGTTGGCTGTGTAACGTACGCTTGATAAATGCATGTGTTTAAAAATTTAGTTTTGAAGAAAATTGTTTATAACGATGTAGAAAATTTGTTGCTATTTTGTATACAATTTAATTGTTAACTATTTTTTATTATTGTGAGTTATGATGTCTGGATAACATTAAGTGTAATTTATTGATAAATAATATATACTTTTTCGAATATAAGCTAACTCTTGTTGAACTGATAAGTATTATAACTTTTATGTAAACAACATAAGACTGAAAAATTAATAATGTTTAAGAAACTGTTAGAACATAATATAACTAGTCATGATGGACAATTTTTTTGTCATTTATGTATGATCGAACAATCAGATTTAGAAAATGTTTTGCACCATGTTACTGAAGAGAAGCATCAGTTATTACAGTCTGAGTTAACAAATAATGTATTAGAAGACTGTAAAGAGCAAACCTGTAGAACGCTTGTAGATAATAATATAGCCATAATCACATTAAGTAGCTTTTACTGCATAGTCTGTCAATGTAATTTTAAAGATTTGATTAGCGCTTTGCTACATGTTCGAATGAGATATCATATTGATCAATTAAAAAATAATTATATAGATACAAATTATAATAAGGATAAAAGTAAAACATGCATTATATCCCATATGTCCAAATTATTAATAGAAAAGAAAAAGAAATTAGCTTCATTTCTTAAATCTGTATTGATAAAAGACACATATCAAAACTGTAATTTAAATGTTTTTGAAGAATATCATGAAGTTCAATTTTTGAAAACAGTACATAATTATTCAAACGAAGATTCTAAAATTCTTGTTAATAATGGAATACTTAATGTTAAATACTATCGACTAATGTGTCAATATTGTTATCAGAGTTATTTAACACTTGATAATATTTTGCAACACATGAAAGTAACACAACATGCATTTAAAACAGCAAATAAAGATATAACATTAAGCAAAAAGAAATGTAAACAAAATCAACATGTATCTGTTACCTTTGAAGTAATAAAGAATACAATGAATTTAAATTTGTCTAAAGTAAAACAGATAGATGAAAGTACAATTGCTGATATGTTACAATACATAAGTATAGAAACAGAACAGAGACAAGATACAAATATCAATGACAAAGTAATGTATAATAATTTAACATGCAAGCTTTGTATATGTCCTTTACCTTCTTCGGATCATATTTTACAACATGTTAAAGGGAAGCAACATGTCAATTCATTAATATGCACTAATAAATTGATTCATAAAATAGATCAAAACAATGTTGAAAATAAAAAGTTAGATTTATTACTGAAAGTAAATACATATATATTCTTGAACAATAAAATTATAGTACAGGGATCTAACTTTATATGTACTCTGTGTGCAAGAGAAATTGATTCACTACACAATACTTTACAACACATTGCAGGAAAGTTACATACTAACAAATTAAAATGTTTAGATAAGAGTTCAAATACTTCTGAGCCTGATTATGCTTTGTGTACAAATTCTACTAGTGATGGATGTGCAATTCAGAAAGTAAATACACATATATTTTCAGAAAAGTTAGAAATGAAAGGTTCTCAGTCAAATTTAAAATCTACTACTGACTATGAAATTCGTGTATCATCACAGACAAAGTGCTTGAAAAAGTATAACGATGTACTCATGAATAATAAAATTATAGTGCAAGGGTCTAATTTTGTATGTACTATGTGTGCAAGAGAAATTGATTCACTACACAATACTTCACAACACATTGCAGGAAAGTTACATACTAACAAATTAAAATGTTTAGATAAGAGTTCAAATACTTCTGAGCCTGATTATGCTTTGTGTACAAATTCTACTAGTGATGGATGTGCAATTCAGAAAGTAAATACACATATATTTTCAGAAAAGTTAGAAATGAAAGGTTCTCAGTCAAATTTAAAATCTACTACTGACTATGAAATTCGTGTATCATCACAGACAAAGTGCTTGAAAAAGTATAACGATGTACTCATGAATAATAAAATTATAGTGCAAGGGTCTAATTTTGTATGTACTATGTGTGCAAGAGAAATTGATTCACTACACAACACTTTACAACACATTGCAGGAAAGTTACATACTAACAAATTAAAATGTTTAGATAAGAGTCCAAATACTTCTGAACCTGAATATGCTCTGTGTACAAATTCTACTAGTGATGGATGTGCAATTCAGGAAGTAAATACACATATATTTTCAGAAAAGTTGGAAATGACAGGTCCTCAATCAAATTTAAAATCTACTACTAATGATGAAATTCGTGTATCATCACAGACAAAGTGCTTGAAAAAGTATAATGATGTACTCATGAATAATAAAATTATAGTGCAAGGGTCTAATTTTGTATGTACTATGTGTGCAAGAGAAATTGATTCACTACACAACACTTTACAACACATTGCAGGAAAGTTACATACTAACAAATTAAAATGTTTAGATAAGAGTTCAAATACTTCTGAGCCTGAATATGCTCTGTGTACAAATTCTAATAGTGATGGATGTGCAATTCAGGAGGTAAACACACATATATTTTCAGAAAAGTTAGAAATGAAAGGTTCTCAGTCAAATTTAAAATCTACTACTAACTATGAAATTTGTGTCTCTACTACTAACTATAAAATTTGTGTATCATCACAGACAAAGTGCTTGAAAAAGTATAACGATGTACTCATGAATAATAAAATTATAGTGCAAGGGTCTAATTTTGTATGTACTATGTGTGCAAGAGAAATTGATTCACTACACAACACTTTACAACACATTGCGGGAAAGTTACATACTAACAAATTAAAATGTTTAGATAAGAGTCCAAATACTTCTGAACCTGAATATGCTCTGTGTACAAATTCTACTAGTGATGGATGTGCAATTCAGGAAGTAAATACACATATATTTTCAGAAAAGTTAGAAATGAAAGGTTCTCAGTCAAATTTAAAATCTACTACTAACTATGAAATTTGTGTATCATCACAAATAATGTGCTTGAAAAAGTATAATCATGTATTCATGAGCAATAAAATTATAATACAAGGATCTAACTTTATATGCACTCTGTGTGAAAGAGAAATTGATACATTACACAATACTTTACAACATATTGCAGGAAAGTTACATACCAACGAATTAAAATATTTAGATAATAGTTCAAATACTTCTGAGACTGAATATTCTTTATGTACAAATTCTAATAGCAATGGATGTGCAATTCAAAGTTTAACTACTAACTTTTTAAATAGTGAAATGAAAGACAAAGTTGTTACAACCATTGAGGCAGTAAATAATAATAGTAATGCTATTACTTTTAATGAGTATTTGTATTATTGTGAATTATGTGGCATACAAATTAATATTAAGAATATAAATAAGCATATTGATACATTAATTCATAAAAACAATGTACTTGCAATATGTACAGGAAATGATGCACTTATATATAAATGTTTTTGTTGTAAGTCAATAACACAAGGAATTACTTTATTAATTGATCATTTAAGTTCATCGAAACATTTAAATAATTTAACAAACACTTTGGGACATATTAAAGCAAATAATATTGAAATATTTGTGCAACCAATTAATAATACTCAAAACATGTTAAAAGATACAAAATCCTTACTTGACAGTGTCATTTTTCCAGAAAAAGCAAATGTATTTATGAATCTATCTGACAAACAATTCAAATTTTTTGATGTTTCCAATATGGTATATAATAATGTTAAAAATACAGTTTTTTATTTTTACTTCATTTGCAGCACAACATTAGACACAACTCACAATTTAAGTTCATCACGTAAATCATTTCCTACTATTACTGACAATTATTCTATAATATCAAATGATATAAATACAGAAATGATGAAACTTATTTGTAACTCACCATTCAAGGCTAACAGAATGCTGAAACATATGTGTAAGGAAGAAAAACCAAAGAAATATTTGAATAAATATCCTGAAAGATACTTGGAAATTGAGGAAATAATTTATACTGTAGACAAAAGAAAGTTGGATAACATAAAATTAAATTTCGAACCATTTATGCCTTACAATGCAGAACAATTTTATTGTTTAGCTTGTAACACTAATATTTTAAAAGATCTAGATTTATTATATGAACATGCATGTCTGCAATCACATAAAATAAATGTTAATAAAATTAAAAATGATAAAAACAGTGATGAGTTATTAAAGCAATATATGCAGAAAATATCTAATGAATTTATAAAATGTCATATTTGTAGAAGTCGTATCAAAAATGATGCTGATAGTATTGATGCGCACATTAATGATAACATGCATAAGACAAAGTATACAAATTCTCATGAAGTTATAAATAATACTTTCAATTCTATTAAACGAATTTTTGGCAATTTATGGTACAGCATTCAGAAATTTTCATGTGTTCTATGCTCAATAAACTTCACGTATAAAATAGAATTTATAGAACATGTTATTGCTATGCACAATGGGCCTTTGTTAAATCAAATGTTTGATTTTTGTATTCCATGTGCCTCATTATGGTTAAATAGATCAGATTGTTACACAGAACATTGTAACGATGTAATGCATAAGTATCTAATAAAAAATAAAAACTTTATGATTGAAGATCTTCCTGAGTGTATAAAAAAATTATTAAGACAAGTTGATAAAACTTCTGATATTTTATCTGAAGAAACACAGATTTTAGTGAATGACAATACACATAAGGAAATCATACAATCTTTGAAAAATACTTTGCATTCTTCTTTTCCACTTATTAAAATGTCTATATTTGGATCAAGAATTATTGGACTTGAATCTACAAATAGTATCATAAAGATATTTCTTGATTGCGGTAAATATATACTGTTAAAGCATTAATAGTTTACAAAAACATAAATGATATCATTTTTTATAATTTAATAGGAAATGCATACTATTCAGATCACAAAAAATGGTTGCAAAAAGGAAACTTAGAGATTATTGAAGAAATTATACGTAAACAATCAAATGAATGGGAAGTAAAAGAAGAAAGAGGAATATTAAGAACTGTAATAAAGTTGTTATATAAACGAACACGGGTGCAGTGTGATATTTTTATTACAAATAGCCTTTTTGTTCAAAGTTTTCAATTAATAAGGTATTGTAATTTTAAATAAGGTATAATTATCTAAATTTTATGGATAAATAGATAAAACATTGTGTTTATAATTTATTATATTTTCTAGATCATTCAAAGATTCATATCCACCATGCAAAACATTAATACTGTTCATTGAAAAATGGTTTTCTTGTTTTGATTTACCTTCAAAGCATGGTTTAATAAACCATGCTATTGCTTGGCTTGTTATATTTTATTTACAATTAAGTTCAGATTTACCAAATGTTGCTACATTAATAAAGCAGAATAATATAAATAAATTTATATGCGGTAAGATATTTTTAATATAAACGTTTGGAATTATACAGTATGTTTTCACTTTTATGTTAATATATTTGCTTTACCTTTAAGTGCTTTAGATTCATTTTTTATTAATGTAATGATACAAAAATTTTATTTCAGGATGGAATACTGCACAATCGAAAAATAACAATAAATCTATGCAATCTATTTCTTTACTATTATCAAGATTTTTTCAGTTTTATGCTAACTTTGATTATCAACATTACATTATTTGTCCACTTATGGGTTATGCTGTAGCAAAAAGGGCGTTTATAAATTTAGATACATTACCTAAAGAGATGAAACCTTACATCAATTATATGAGAGAATCTAATAATCCAGAATGTTTAAGGATTGATTCTCCATTATGTGTGCAGGATCCACTTGACTTATCCCGTAACTTGACAAAGGCTGTGAATAGTATTACCTTGAAGTATTTTAAACAGTATTGCCAAGATAGTGCATTTATATTACAACAAATTAGTATGAAAAAAACAGAGAACGCGAATTAATCGTGTTTATGATTTCTTAGAACTATATTTTAGATGACGAAAAGAGAAGTATTTTTATAATTTTATTAATATTTTATGTACATGTTTATATATTGACTATATCATACAGAAAGTAATTATGTGCCTCGTATTAGTAAGTATGTCTATGCAGATACTTATTAAAACAAATAAATGGATATTTGTTTTAGTAACTTAAATCATGGTGCAACATATAACCATGAAATTTTTAGGGGAAATACTTATATTTTTACATTCATTGCGTTATCAACTATTGTTTTTATTATACATATATTTAAATTATGAAGAATATATTTTATATAAAATTTATATGTTCAGTTCCAGCAATTGTTATATGTGGATTTGATATTTAGTGCATTATTAATTGATTTAATTTTAAAGAGCCATGTATTAAATGTTGGACTATTATATATTTTATGTTATTGTTTTATATTATAATTGTTACTTGTTTATGTTAATATTTATTGATAGGATGTGCATATATCTGTTATATTGTACTGTACCAAAGGAATTTAAATTATTCAAAAATAACTAGGCAAAATATTAATTAGGCAATGTATTTTTAAATGAATAAGAATGTAAAACAAATAATTGTTATCAAAAGATTTATTTAAATAATTAAAATTAATTTGTTACATATCACTTGTTTAATAATTTTTGTACCCTCTTTAATTGTAATATTTTGCTGTTGTTTATGTATCATACAATTATGAAGCAGTGGCAGAATTATTTTCAATGATATCTTGTTTCCATACATATTCTACACTGTATCCATTTTTAGGTGTGCATGATTTTGTACATGTGAATACTACCAAAATTCCCCAATCAATGCATTTAATTGGATCTTCTAAATTAAGGAAGTTCAATAATTGAGGCATAATCTATAATAGATGAATTTTGTATAATGTAGATTAGACATTATAAGTAACAAATTAAGTAACAGTCTCTTTTATATATCTTACTTGAAATTCAAATTGTCTCTCTCCATTGCATTCAGCACATTTTGGTATTTTATTAACTTTAGTTTCTGCTGAGATATATAAAATTTGTTGTCCCTTATTATATCTGTAAATCATAGACAGAATATAAAATACAATTTTTTGCAGTAAACGAATAAGAAAAAATAATTCTACCTAATAATTTGATCTGGATATTCATCAATGGTTGATTGAAATTTAGAAAATGTTTCATCTTCTACTTGATTAGCTACATTTAATAATTCATTTTGTATATCTTCATTTTGAAGAGTTCCTGCTTCATTTTTTTGTATCATTTCTTCATACTTTTTCATTTCCTCTTCTTCTCTATTCAAATCATTTGAATCATCATCATTTCTTACTTCTTCTCTTTCTATCACTATTTCATGTTCCGGAAATAAAAATTTGTTGTTTGCAGTTGCAGAGTGTACTGGCAGTTCTTTATTAACATTACAAGTTTCCTTGTGTCCATTTTTCCAATGATAAATTTGGTGAGCACGGCAACAATAATTTATATTTTTACATTTGGAACAATGATTAGGTGCTAATATTCCACAAATGTAACATGTTTTTACCCATTGATTTACATCTAAAAATTGTGGACAGCTTTATATAACAAAATCTATTTATATTTTATTTTTAAAGATGTATATATCCTTAAAGTACATACTAATATCAGTTCTCCAATCACTCTGTTCCACAGGTGGTTCAGCTGGGTAAAATTCATTTATCTTTGGTAACTGAGATCGAAAAACTTTTAAATTTCCATTTTTATTCGTTCTACAGCATTCAGACTTTTTACATACAAAAACAAATATTGTTCTATGAAAAGCATCATCACTGTCCTCACATGGAGCATATATCTGACATAAAAAAATACAAGGTTCTTTGCAATATTCACAATGAAGATCTTTCTCTCCAGGAATATTTTTTAAATCAAGCCATGCTGGTTTACCACCAATTTTACTTGGAAAAAATCTACTTTCTAGTCGCCAAGGTTCACACTTTTCTGCAAAACCTAAATCTACCGTCATTTCGTACAAAATATATCTCTTCAATTTATTTTTGTCACAAAGTAGACATTTATGAAGTATTTATTGTGGCAACAATTAATACCTGACTTTCTTTCTTTCTTTCTTGAATTCAATCATATAGCAAACAATATTACGAGGATCGTAATACATTTCATCTGTGATCAGACCAGATTAGACCCCGTTCGCGCAACTTTGTTTAGTTTAGAAAATTCTCTACTAGTGATTCACTAGTTGATTCACTATTGTTCCATACACACGGTGTACAATTTATATTGTAAAAGCAAAACTCATATGTGTATTATATTAAGATGTACATTCCAAAATTTTTAGACCCCTAGATTCTCATATTTCTGTATTCCTCGATTTCTCTACCTCGACGGAATATACAAATAACGAGAGCCAGAAATAATATAGGAAATACATAAGATAAAAGACCACCAAGTATATTACCAATGGTTTAATCACCATAAGAGCGCATGTGTGTTATCCTTGGTTATAACCAATCAAAACCGATATGCGCAGAATAAACTAAAACTCGTCATTGAAGAGATCTGATCATTCGTAAAATAGTGTATAGTTTGTACAAGAATTGGAATTGATATGTGTTCTTAGGTTAGCTAATAAATCTAACCTTTCGAGCAGTTTAACTGACAATTAAACGAAATGACGTCTTGTTTGGAAAGTATACAATCTTTCAATTGCGTATGGTTTGAAACAGGTGAAAAGCGAAATGTACTGGCATCTATGCTAGCTGGAACATTGGTAACTGATGATTACTATTTACATTATGTTAAACATGAAACTGACGTTATAAAGCAAACTATGTTGCATTTAACTGTATCTGATGGTGTTAATTTTATTTGTGGACAGTAATATTCTCTCGATTTTGCTGCATTCTTTCATAAAAATTAATTAAGATGTATCATGTTTTATTACATTTCAACATTTATAGAACTTTAATGTGCTAATTATCTTCTTTTATAATTTCAGTTTTTTGTAGGATGGTGGTTTATAATCGATGCTCATGCCAAATATCCTAGTGAAATGTCAAATGCTTATCACTTGTGTGGAGTATTTGGAACTATATCTCTTTTTATGTAAGTTTATGCTTCATGCATAAATTCAAACAATTGATATCATATATTTTGTTCAATTTAGGATAAATTCTGTAACAAATGCACAAATAAGAGGTGATGCATACAATGGCGGTTATTTAGGGGCTAGAGGTGCAAGAGGTTGGGTATTTATTGGATTTGTAATGGGATTTGCTGCAGTTTTTGCAGCTTGTTGGATATTGTTTGCCAATTTTGTAGCTGCAGGTTTGTACAAGTATTACAATGTGGCATAAGTAGTTTATATGATTAAGTATTATTAATTTTGCTTTTCAGGAGCACAGCATAATTGGCCAGGTGTAGGTTTATTTTTACAAAATGTATTTATTTTCTTGGGCTCTCTTACTTACAAGTTTGGACGATTAGAAGAGTTATAGAATTATTCAATATTTATAAATATCAGATATTTTTATTGGTTGCACAGCATCTTCTAGCTTTAATAAGCTTCAAAATGGAGCATTTGAAACTAAGGAACAAACAGTTTTATACATATACATGTATTGCATTATAAATGGACTAGAGTAATTCATGGTGATATATAATTTAGATTGCTTATTTACATTAAATCTCATTACATTTAAATAATCCGTATGTATATCATATGAATATCATACTATTTATATAGAAATAATTTACTCTACAGTCTGTATTTTCCCATTTTTATGAATGTTTATCATTTAATTATCATTTATAATGAAACTAAATACTGATTAAACTTCTATTACAAAGAAGCACATGGTTATAAACATTATTTTTTACAAGGACTAATATAATTGTTAGTTGTAAGTAAAAACTTGATACTATACTTCAGTTTTTTAAATGAATTATGATTCTTATCAATCTATTTTTATGTAAATCTATTATTTTGATAATAAAACGAGAGTAATAGATATAATTTCAATGTATCACTAGTAGATATAAAATAGATTTTTACTGAAACCCCAATTAAACTTATTTTGAACTCTTAAAATTAATGCAAAAAGTGTACTGAAAATTCTGCAAAATTCAAAGAGAAAAGCAGTAAAATAAAATAAAATATTTTATTGGAAATATCTGTCTCTTTAAAAATATAAGCAAATAGATAGACATTGTTTGTTTAAATACAATAGTAAGTTCACAATCATAAAAGAGAAGATTATTTTGAAACAACTTTTGAAAGTATCTAAGAGTTACCAAATTTCAAAAAAAGGACAGAGTAATCTGCAAACTTATCGAATTTTTTAAAGTGCTCATTTTATCATTATAGTGGGGGTAAAATAACGGATTATTGGTTTTGATTTGCCAACGCGGACCAATATGAGCGTTTCCTTCCATCTTACTTTACCAATCCCGTTATGCCACACAAACACATGGTTGTATTCAGTTTGGCGAAAGAGTAAAAGGTGTACGTTGTTTTTTCTTACATTAAATAAATTAAAACAAACGTTTGCCTATGCCTACAGCAGTAGTTCTATTATCGTTAGACTAATAACTTTAAGATAAAGATAAAAAGTAAGTAAAACTGGTTCTAACTATTTCTTAATTTTCCGGCTATCATAACCATGTTTGACAGACGTATGAAAACCCTCGTGTTATAAAAAAAAAACATTTTTATACATTTACAACAATTTTATTTGAATGAAAATTATTTTTTGGATAACTATCTTGTTTATTATCTTATAACCATTTGTCTTTGCTTTTAAAATATACAGTATAATTTCTTATTTTCTGTTTGACTCAACAGTTTTCAAAGTATTATCAAATGCTATAGTGTTTATATTGCAAAATTTATTTATTTGTGGTAATTTTATTTATTCTTTCATTTTTTAAAATCACATTATCTACAGAAAAATGTTTAACGTAAGTATGTTCTTTTTTCATTATTTTATACAGTTAAACAAAAAATTTATTTATAAATATATTAAAGTAAAATCAATGTGCATATATATTTTTTTAATCGCTGCCATTTAGTAAAAATATGGGGTTTGGTTTACAATAGTCATAACATAATATAAGGTCATTCTTATTTATCCATCTGTTTTGTTATACTCATCTACCCAAAACTTAAATTGAAAATTAAAAGTAAGACTAAAATTATAATATAAGGTCATAATGTTATGTAGTGTTTATTTATAAGTATATTTGTTTTGTATTACAGATGAAACCAAGCAAATTAAACATGACCATTATTTGGTCATTGCTGATTATTGTCATAACTCTTATTCATAACAGCAGTGGAGTTGCTGTTATGAGTATTGATATTGGTAGCGAATCAATGAAAGTTGCCATTGTTTCAGTACGTAAAATATATTATAGTATATTAATTATCTATAATTAATCTTTCAAAACATGTATTTATAGATTAAGTTTAATGATAATATTACTTTATACAGCCCGGTGTTCCAATGGAAATAGCTCTTAATAAAGAATCAAAGAGAAAAACACCAGTTACAATAGCATTTCGAAATGGGGAAAGAAGCTTTGGAGAAGATGCTCAAGTAGTAGGAATTAAATCACCACAAAGCAGTTTTTCTTATATATTAGATCTTTTAGGAAAATCGATAGATAATCCTATGGTGCAACTTTATAAAAAACGATTTCCATATTATGATATTATTTCTGATGAAGAACGTAAAACAATTGCATTCAGACTTGATCAAAATACTACATATACTCCAGAGGAATTACTTGCACAAATTTTGCATAAAGGAAAAGAATTCGCAGAAACTTCTGCAAATCAAAAAATTAGTGAAGCAGTAATAGTTGTTCCAGGATTTTTTAATCAAATTGAAAGAAGAGCTCTTGCTCAAGCAGCAGACCTTGCAGGAATTAAAGTCTTGCAACTTATTAATGATTATACTGCTATTGCATTAAATTATGGAATTTTCCGTAGCAAAGAAATAAATGATACTGCACATTACGTAATGTTTTATGACATGGGAGCTAGTAGTACAACTGCAACAGTTGTTAGTTACCAAAATGTAAAAACGAAGGAGAAAGGATTTGTTGAAACTAATCCACATGTGTCTATTTTGGGAGTGGGTTATGATCGCACTTTGGGAGGACTAGAAGTACAACTTAGATTACAACATCATTTGGCTAAAGAATTTGATGCATTAAATAAAACGTCGAATTCTGTATTTAACAGCCCAAAAGCAATGGCAAAACTTTTTAAAGAAGCTGGTCGTGTCAAAAATGTATTGAGTGCAAATACAGATCATTTTGCTCAAGTGGAAGGATTGATAGAGGAACATGATTTCAAGCTACAAGTTACAAGAGAAAAGTTGGAGCAACTTTGTTCTGATTTATTTGAACGTGTACAGGATCCTATCAATATTGCTTTAAAAACATCAGGTATATAGAGATAGATTAAAATACAAAAAACTTATTTGGCATATAACTTTAAATTTATTTAAATATTTCAGGTTTGACAATGGATGTTATATCTCAAGTTGTATTAGTAGGAGCTGGTACAAGAATGCCAAAGATACAAGAGTATTTAAGTCAGTATTTAACAGTTGAATTATCTAAAAATATTAATACAGATGAGGCAGCTACGTTAGGAGCAGTATATAAAGCTGCAGATCTTAGTAAAGGGTTTAAAGTAAAGAAGTTTGTTACTAGAGATGCTGTATTGTTTCCTATACAGATTACTTTTGATAGAACTGTTGATAACAAAGTGAAACAAGTGAGTTTTTATTGTTGTACACTTATAAAATGAAATGTGCTAAAATTAATCTTGGGTTTCCTTTTGAATATGCTACTTTCAGGTTAAAAAATCATTATTCAGCAAGATGAATCCATATCCGCAAAAGAAAATTATCACATTTAATAAATATTTAGACAATTTTCAATTTCATATTAATTATGCTGAATTGGACTACTTACCCCCTCATGAAGTAGCGTAAGTGTCTTTTAAAATTATTATTCATTGTATAATATTTGTAGGTACCAATATGTTAACATTTATTTATTTTAGTGCTATTGGTAATACAAATATATCGACTATAATTTTATCCGGTGTAGCTGAAGCTTTAGACAAGCATATTAAAGAAGGTGCAGAAAGTAAAGGGATTAAGGCACATTTTGCTATGGATGATAGTGGCATACTCAATTTGGTGAATGTAGAATTAGTATCAGAAAAATCAAGTTCAACTTCTGACGAAGAAGAGGGTACTTTCTCAATACTTGGCTCAACTATTAGTAAACTTTTTGCAGGTTTGTGCTGAATGCATTGCAAAAAATGTTATTTGTATTTTATTAATTTCAATTTTTTGGAATTATTTTCTTTTTTTCTTTTAAAAAAAAATTTAAAACATATAACAGAAAAAATATGCAGAACATAAAACCATTTTTTGCAAGCATTTATAAAATAGTCAAAAAATTATGACACAAAAGAAAGCTGTGGAAATCCTTTAAAAATAAATGAGGGAGATGAAATATGTTACACTTTTCATACAGTTAATCTTTCGTATTTTTGAAATTTATAGGATCAGAAGATAAAGAAGGAAAAGCAGAAAAACCAGTAAAAGAAGACATAAAACCAGTTCACGAAGAACCAGAATATCCTGAGTCACAAAAAGAAACAGAAGATAAAACAAAGAAACAGAATGAGACTACGACTACTGAAGATAAAGCAGCAAATAAAACCGAAAAAGTAGAAAAAGAGAAAGAAAAGAAAGCTACGATTGTAACGATCAAAGAGCCCATTAAAGCTGATGAGATCAAATTAGGACCTCAGATTCTATTCGGAGATAAACTTGTTGACTCTCGTGATAAGTAAGTAAATTATATCTGATAAAAGACATTAATAACAATATATTGTACACTACGTACATTGTAATATCGACATTATACAATAATTTTAGATTACATCGTTTAGACGTATATGATTTTGAGAAAACGAGACGTGAAACAGCTTTGAACAATTTAGAAACATTTATAATTGATGCTCAACAAAGATTAGAATCTGAAGAATATGCTGGTGCAGCTACATCTAAAGAAGCAGAAAGTATATTGAAAGCCTGTTCTGAAATTTCTGAATGGTTGTACGAAGATGGATTCACAGCAACCGCTGAAGTATACGAAGAGAAATTGTCAGAACTCCAAAAATTAACCAATGATGTGTATGAACGCGTCTATGAACACAGAGAACGACCAGAAGTATTAAAGGGCATGACTTCTATGTTAAACGCAAGCACAACATTTTTAAATAATATGAAAAATTTAAGTTTGTCCAGTGACATATTTACACAAGTCGAAATAGAAACGCTAGAAAAAGTGATTAATGAAACTCAAGTAAGTTATTAATTTAATTATAGTGGAATTTCGCTATATGGTTTTGAACACGGAACTTTTTATATATGATGCTATTATTAAAATTTGAAAATCATTTAACAAGCCGAATAAACGAATATCATGTAGCGAAATTCTTACATACTTTAATTGTGAACGATGTTTATTAAGTTGCGTTTTTCTGTAGGAATATTACGACACAGTCGTTAAATCGTTTGCGGAGACAGCATTACACGAGTCAGTAACATACAAAATTCGTGATATCGCGAAGAAGATGGCGGTACTCGATAGGGAAGTGAAATACCTCATAAATAAAGCAAAAATATGGAGACCAAAACAAGATGCCGCGACAAATCATACAGCGAGCACAAGTGAAAATGCAACAGACACGAAAGAACAATCCGAATCTGTTCCTAAAACTGATTCTCAACCGGACAAAAGTTCAAAAGAACATACATCTAATGACGCGGAAGTACAAAATGAAAAATCAGAAGAATCGACAAAAACAGTAAAAGATAACGAATCTCAGACTAACCCAAAAAATACCCAAGAAGAGATACATCAAGAACTTTAAGATGAAGTTTATTTGAAGTGGGTGATTTTAATTATTGACCGGTTGTGTTTCGGTTAATAAATTAGCCAATTTATTATGTCGTAGAACAGGATAATGAATGCATTTAAAAATTGAAATTGAATAACACAAAATTTATGCGTTGCTGTGGTTGGTTGAATTATTTCGTGGATGTGAATATTGAAGTGTTATTGTATTTAATTATTCGTATATCAATAAGGAACATTTAATTCACTTGTTTAATATTAAACAAAGTAACAAAATATCTTACAGGATTTTCCGTACAGAAAACACGAAAACCGACCATCCTATGGAAAAGTTTATTTTAAGTGCCAATTAATAGCAGGTTTGAACATTGTATCTGTAATTATAAATGATTTCAGACAGCCGTAATACGATCAAGCAACAGTGTGTTTAATAGCCGAATAAATTAATTGCATAATATTGTTGTTTACAAGCGATGTAACGTTCTACTTGGTCGGATTTCATCTACTGTGAATATAATATTTAATTGTGATATTTCTTGATACTATATTCTTAGATATACTCTATCTTATAGCTGAAAAATGATTTTTTACATTTACATCATATATTATAATTACACACGCAAACGTACAAGCCCGTCTTTATCAGGAAAATGTAATATTTTATTTCTGTGTTCCTAATTAATTATTACTACAAAACGCCTAATTTTGAAGAATTACGTCTGTGCTCCATTATCTTGACAATACAGATTATTCTGATCGAGTTAATAACGAAAAACGCATAATATCCGTTATGGTTAATTTCAAATGGGGTTTTATTACTCCAAATGTCATTTGCATAAATTAAGTTGCAACTGGTGTGCAAATAATTTACTTTTATTGAATTTGATACAGTTAATTTAAATCATTCCAATGAGCATAATTGTAATTTAAAACTTTAATTATGTTATTTATTATGTTGGATGAATAAAAAGGTGTGTAAAGTACTTACGAAGTAAAAAATGAGAAAAATTAATATTACTTTCAGTTTACATATTATGAACCAAATATAATTATAAGGAAAACCCAGACATCAGTACACAGTCTTCCTGCAACCAAATGCAACATAACGGAAAATAAAGTGAATTTATAATTATTTCTTTATTTCAATATATCATTAAAGTCAATATAAACGATTTATTTCTTATTGCATGTTACAATCAACAATAAATTACTTGTGTAATTCTAATGATAATAATAACAATAACAATATGTGCTTATTTAAATGAATATTTATATGTTGATATATGCTATGAATTAGCATACTGAGATATATAATATTTATTTTTCTCTTTCCTGACTGAATTAAAAGAAAAATGGAAGACAAAGTAATTGTATCATTTAAGAGAACAAAAGGCAGTAAATTTTATATTAATTAATTTAAAATACCACAGTTGCTCAAGCATCAAGATGTATTGTTACAATGTGTCTACCAGGTATCATCACTAAACCAAGATTTCTTGCTTCTGTATGATCTTCCGATAAAAATTCTGAACATGTTCCTAAAATCACATTTGCATCACGATCCGTACACAAAAATGCGCCCATTAAAACTCGACCATCTGTCATTTTAATTCGTAAATTTCGATTCAGCCATCCACGTAATTTTTGCTTCGCAGGAGATTCCTCTGTATTAACAACCTATTATAATTGTATCTATAAGTTCATGCTACTTTTGTTCACAATATATATATTACAATAAGAAAAAGTATATAATCAACAAATTTTCGATGGATCCCTGATAAAATTACAAATTGTTTAGAAACTCGTTTATATTAACACCTCGTGAATATTAACCTATTAACTACAATTCGCAATAACATATTTTACTTCGATTTTTCATTGAAAACGATATATTAAGAAAGTTAATTAATAAAACAGAAATTTATGAAATATCATTATATATTTAATACACAAACACCCAGTTTAGAAATGAAATATGTTTGACATTTGCGCAATTAACCTCTCAAACAAAATATGTCACCGACCACTAAGATATTAATACAATCATTGTAATTATAATCCTATCAAATATGTAATTAAAAAATTACCTCTCCATTTCCATGAATATAATCGTCGTTTGTTACGTTCGATACATTGTGTCCTTCTTTCATGTCTATTTTATTGAAAATTTTGAACAAAAATATATTAACTTGGTCTAACGATTAATACACTCTACAAAATTTGGCATCAAACGAAATGAAATTTCTTTTAATTTATGTTTCCACAAATTCTATTGAGGCACATTACAAATCGTGTTTTTTAAAAGATAAATTATCTTTATGTATTTTCACAAGAAATAATACAGTCTGCGTCGAATGGCAGAATTTTCGTTTGTCTTGCGCACGTTGGCTCTGATGGTACTGTCACATAAGATCAAACAAAATTTATGTAAGTACTAGGTCTGTTTGATTGAGGCGCTGCGCGCCTAACCTAACAATGTTGAGCGAGCGAGTAAATTTCACGCTAAAGCAAAAATAGTCAACCGTGTCATCCGGTTGAATTGGTTGAGTGGTGCAAGAGAAAAACGTGGACAAAAAAGTTGAAAACTCAAGTACATAAGCGCGAGCAAATTCAATTTTACATTAAAGTCTACGGGGATATGGATTTTCGGTAATTATTCCTCCGTAGCATACACGGGCGGCGCACAGGAGGAATATACACGATAATGAGTATGCAAAATCGTTAATTACTCACTTTCTGAGCACAGTCTATGAACTTTTATGATCAAAGAATGGTCAGCAATGCATTATTTACATGGTTCGATCATAAAAGTTCATAAATAATGTTCGGATAATGAGTAATTAATCATTTTGTGGCAGCATTGCGATACGTACATAAGCCGCCCATGTCAATTCTACTGCGCATGCAAAGTGCAAAATTTCGGCACTTTGACGACGCAGTGTGGTCCCTGAGGCATTTAGAAACAAGTTTCTATTAGGGTTTGATGCGTTTTGATGCTTAATAAAGCCAGAAAATCAATTTTTATCGAATTCGGTCCAAAACGGCACAGGTGGCGCCATCTAGCCGCGAGCGGCGGAACTACGAAAAACTAAAATATCGATTTTCTCCGAAATTAGGCAATTTTACGTATTTCTGAGGGTCAGAAATTGTTCTGTGACCTGTCTAGAACCTATGTAATGCTACATGAACCTCCTCAGAACGCTAGAAAAGAAAATAGAAAAATAGTCCAAAACATGGACTAAAAAATTGGCGTCCATCTAGCGGTGAAAGTTGGAACTACAAAAATATAAAAATGGGATTTTCTCGAAAATTAGCGGACTTTGAGTACTTCTGAGGCTCAGAAAGTGTTCTGTGATCGCATTAGAAGCAAAATAAACCAATAAAAGTTTCCTGAAAGCTTTAGGAAAGAAAATAAAAAAAATGTCATTTTATGGAGAAAATTTGTGGCGCCATCTAGCGGCGGAACTGCGAACTAAATTGAAAAAACGTATGCCCGTACACGCGTTAAGAAAAAATATAAAAAGTAATAGTTTGCAACTTTGACGACGCAGTATGCTTCTCTAGACATTTTGAAGCAATTTTTGTTCAATAAATTATTCATTTTTTTGCCTATTAAGCCCAGAAAATCAATTTTTATTTGACCCCTTAACACGTGTTCGGACATTCGTTTTTTAAATTTAGTTCGCAGTTTCGCCGCTAGATGGCGCCACAAATTTTCTCCATAAAATTATATTTTTTTTATTTTCTTTATTAAAGCCTTTAATCTCGCACTATCTACTGTGCAATGGCGCCTGATAAGTGGCGCCACTTGTATTGTTTTCGGTATAATTCAGATAAAATAACTAATTTTATAAGCTTAACTGAATTTAATATTAATTGAATTATATTGTAATGCAAGAATTTCAAATTGTTTTGACTTTAGCAAACTGTTATAAATTTGTAACCATTCCTAGGCAAATTCTAGTTAGCCCAAGATTTCTCGTGTGTCGCCGCCTAGCGGCAGAATGCGAAACTAACTAAACTACAGTTTCAAAAGTGTGTAGTTCACCCGGTTCGCCGGAGAGATGGCGCCACTAGCTCCATTTTCGTAAAAATGCAATTGATATCGATTTTATTGATGGCAATATATTGCATGGGTCCGGAAATGCGGATTATGTGTTCAGAATAATTTGCAGGCTATACTGTATCTCGTTGATGATATATGGAATGATATGAAAATGACAAAAAATTTTTCTTTGAGTCGCCAAAAACTTTCTCACTAGATATCTTCTTTTGCAAAAGGTCCATTTCGGAGCACGAAGGTTTTTTGAAATTTCGCTCAAAAAATTAACCATTTAATATGTGATAAGATTGAAAAGCATGGATATGTAATGTACTATTAGAAAGTGGAAGAAAATTTCAGTTGTCCGATGATAATTTTTGAATAGGTAAATTGAGGGTCGCCATCAGTGTTTCGGTATCGTCCCTTTCGCGAGTTTCGGTCCGCTCGTTTGTCGGATGGAAATGACCCGCGGTGTAAGGTTACAGGGTAAAGAAAAAACAAAAGAAGAAATGGCGGTGGTCCAACTGCTCTTGCCGGTCCAGATTTTAATCTTCGCCCGGGGACGGGAAAAAAGCAAGAATGTCGTAATCTCGATTCAAACATCTGTGAGAAGGACCCACCAACAGTGGGTATACGATATACTGTTAGGAATCTGTTTTGTCGTCGGTGAGAACCTGTATGCTCGTGACATTCTGTCTCGTACGTAAAACAGATAAACATCAAATTTTGTTAAATAAAGTATTATCACCGTTATAACTCACATATTATCAGTACAGTTAAATTACAGATAAGAAAAGTAATTAATTCTGACCGAATCTCCAAGTCAGTGTCAGGTTATTTTTGCACCAAGTTCCGCCTGCAATTGTCTCGGGTTCTTTCCACATTTTCTTAAAACCCGTTAAATTTTTCTTACACTTGTTCTCGGCAAAAGTTATTCGGCTCATTTCCGCCCAAACCGAAGGCGCGAAATAATGGCGCAGTGTAATTTTTCATTACGGTCGCGAAATATTCGCGCGTTCTTTGAACGAACTTTATCTGATGAAAACCGCGGTTGTTTTATATGCACGTTTGCGCAAACACTTAATTGAACATAGCGCGGGTTATTTTCAGGGAATTAACTTCGGTAGCGGTTGGTCTTTCTCGCGAAAATTAAACTGAAAATTAGTTCGATTTATCGAGGAGGAAGGACAGTCGTTATTAATTAGCATCGTCAAGTGTAATTAAACTTTCATTAATAAAATACAGAGTCACTTGAATATTAAACTGTTCTCAGTATGGAACATATTGCGAACTATGAAAACGAGTATCATTAAAAATTCCCTGTGTAATTGCAATGAATTGTTATTTGAGAAATCTGCCTATTTTGTTAACATTGTTTAATATATCGATGAGTTGAGAAAAGAATTATTTGAAATAACTTGTAAACTGAAAATGATGTGTATCGTTTACAAGTAAGGTATGAAAATTGGTTGCGAACGTGTGGGACACCCGTTACATAAATCTGATCGACTTGAACGGTGCTCGGGGCGAAACTTTTACGAGACACGCATTCGTTATCCATTAGGGTAAGTATAGCACGTGTGGTCGTGTTACCGTGTTCGACGATATTCATGTGTTACGATGAGCTGTTCAACCGGCTCGTAACCGAGCATAATTGAATTATCATTCGGAAGTGCATGAAAGACAGGCCAAACCAAGGCATAATGAGGGAAATACGCGTTACAGTGCTCGCAAACGCGGTTTCAAAATAACCCCGGTGTATTTAGGCAACAATAGATGTCTGATAAAAGCGACCATGATTATTCCACCCTCTCTTCCTCGCTTCGTCCTCCTCGCGAATTAATGGTATTCAAGAACGGAATAGCGTTAGCGAAATTAATTCGAGATTAATTCTAATTCGTGGTCGAGGATGAATCGACACCAGGAGACAGCCATTGTTTCCACGTTATTGCCGTGGGATAATGTTCTATATTTTCCTGGAAAGGTTCAAATTATTTGTTTCTTCTTCGACGTTTATCATTTTTACGTCGCTCGCAAATAAACAGCTTCCGTTACGTTAAAAAGTTTCCTTTCTCTCTTCCGTCTCGATCCCTTTGAGATGTTTTGTACGCGATCCTGATCCTTTTCTGCGCTAGCTCAACGCGATCCTCGCGATTCTTCGAGGCTTTAAATGCGTGCTCAGCGATACAATAGGAAACATTTGTATGCCGGTGATTCCTTTGATACGCTACGAATAGAGATTTACCGAATACGAGAGGCATTCTTCGTGGCTTTTAGCGGTTTCGCTTGTTGTGCTTTTGATGCTTAGGGTAGCGTTTTGTCGCTTTCAAAATTTCCGATCTCAATTACCGTACAATTATTCGTTTTCTAATATTTATACTCAACTCCTCAAAAAATTTAATTTTCATATCTCCACATTAGGACTTTATTTCTAATTCGTCGACATATTGTAACTTAAAATAACTTGAATGACTTTGACCACTTTGATACATTTCATATAAAATTACCTCAAATTTGAAAATGATTAATAAATTCTCAACATGTCATTTGACCTAACAAGGAGTTCAGGAGTAACTTAACTTGTTGAATGACTTTGACCACTTTGGTACATTTCATGTAAAATTACCTCAAATTTGAAAATAATTAATAAATTCTCAACATGTCATTTGACCTAACAAGGAGTTCAGAAGTAACTTAACTTGTTGAATGACTTTGACCACTTCGATACATTTCATATAAAATTATCCCAAATTTGAAAATGATTAATAAATTTCCAACGTGTCATTTGATCTAACAAGAAGTTCAGGAGTAACTTAACTTGTTGAATGACTTTGACCACTTCGATACATTTCATATAAAATTACCTCAAATTTGAAAATGATTAATAAATTCCCAACGTGTCATTTGACCTAACAAGAATTTCAGGAGTAACTTAACTCATTAAATGACTTTGACCACTTCGATACATTTCATGTAAACTTACCCCAAATTTGAAAATGATTAATAAATGATCAACACGTCCTTTGACCTAATGAGCTCAGAAGAGAACACCAAAGTGAGGATACGAGTCGGATATCGTGGAAGAAGGTTTCGTGAATTTTTCCATCATTGATCCACCGATAACACTTGTCCACGATGATCGATCGTATCGAAGAATCGCGTGAAACTCGTTTGACTTGTCAATCGCGATCCACGGGTTTCCTTAACCCGTGACCGAGCGCATTTATCGTCGGATTAGTGTCCAGAGTACTGGACGTCTCATGGAAGATGAATTTCTGGCCGTATATTTTTAGCATTTGGCTTATTTTCTTTTTTCTGCCAGTTTATCAGATGAAGATGACGCTATTATAGTATCCCGTACCT